AACTATTATGGGTGAGGAATTAAAATCTGGAGTGGGGACGTAGTGAAATAATTTGTTTAGACAGTGAAAGAGGAGCACGAGGAGGAGGAGGAGGAGGAGGAGGAGGAGGTGAAGTAATTTGTGCAGAATCTGGAGTTCCTGCAGCTCTCTGTGTGTGTGTGTGTGTGTGTGTGTGCGCACACAGGACTACACATCACTCAGACATGCATGAACAAAGCAAAATAAACTTCTCATTCTGGGAACGCAGTTTGTTTTCCAGCTCCAGGACTGGAGCGCCGTGAACTGATGAGACTGGCAACGAAAAGGTTCTGATGAGGAAGATCATGTGACCAAAAATGATGGATTGGGTAAGTTTGGCCGTTCAGATCAGTTTCAGCAGTTTGGTTGGTTAGTTAGTTAGTTAGTTAGTTAGTTAGTTAGTTAGTTAGTTAGTTAGTTGGTTAGTTAGTTAGTTAGTTAGTTGGTTAGTGGCCTGGTCTTTAAACTGAACACGCCTGGACAATAGTTCCATGATTTAAAAGTCATGTTTATCAGTAGAAAAATGACATGTTACTGTATGGTAAAGTAGCTGTTTTAAACATCTGGCCTGAGGACCACTCCTGGCCCACCAACAGTCCACTTCCGGTCCCTGACAAGATGTTAATAACGCTTCAATTTTGCTGCCTGTCACTATAGCACAGACCAATGGAGACAAATTAGTTGCAATGTGTAATGAATACTAGTTGTCCAACCAGTTGAGTGAAGACGATGAAGACAATGAAGACAATGGAGACGATGAAGACGATGGAGACGATGGAGGCAATGGAGACGTGTTCTAGGGTTGGGTCAGTTCACATTTCAGGCTGCGTTTAGGAAAATAACATGGGATTCAGTGAACGAGAGGAGAAAACGATCACAGAGAAAGACCTAAAGTTCAGAAACATCTGTGCTGCTGTGGAGGAGCAACGGTCGACCAGGGAGGACGAGCTGCACCTACAGTCAGTGACCAGCAGGTGGACAAGTCTGTCTGAAACTTGTTAAAAGTTCGGCAGTCCAAAGGCTGCACCACGGAGTCAGGGGTGGATAATGTGTTTTCAGCCTCTCTCTCTCTCTCCCTCTCTCGTCCTCTCTCTTTCTCTCCCTCTGTCTCTCTCTCTCTCTCTCTCTCTCTCTCTCTCTCTCTAATGAATGATTGTTTTACAGACCATAAAGTACAGGCAGATGTGTTAAATTAGTAGGAGCTTTCTCCCAGTTGTTGTGCAGCAGCCAAAATGATGTGCCTGACACGTCTTTATTAAAGCTGCATAATAGAAGACACTTAGCCTTCAAAGAAGTGGAGGAGGAGGAGGAGGAGGAGGAGAGGGAGGGTGTGGGGGAGGAAGGAGAAGAACAAGCAGAAACAGAAGAGTGAGAACGTGATTTGCAGCAGCTCAGATTTATGAATTTATGTTTCACACAAGTGAGAATAAATGACCGTGATTCATCTGTCAGGCTTTTGGTTATCCTTACTGTCAGACTGACAAATCTTTAGCTAAAGTTTAATCTCATAAGACGCAAGGTCCAAATACTGACAGCAGCTCAGGAAGAAATAGACATAAAAAAACATGACATGAGTGTTTTGGTTTGTTTTTTTCACACAGCCTGTGTGGAACAACAGTGTAGTTAGATATAGTTTTGTTCAATGTGTTTGTCTTTATACAACAACAACGTTTTAGGTAAAATTCCAAAATGTTAACGTTTAAACTAAATGTAACAAAAACAACAAATTAATGAAAACAATAAAACGTACTGATTCCTGATGGATTCTTCAAATAATGTCAGTAAAATGAATGAATAAATAAATAAATAAGATTTTTAAATAATCAAGTCAAAGACAGCCTACAGCCTATGGTCTAGTCTCGTACAGTAAATAACTTCATTTTGCCTCAAAATTATCCTTGAAATATCAATGTAAACCTATAAGAGCTCATAATACAATAAACAACAAGAAAATGTGTTAAAATATTAGAGTTAGCCAAAATATACAGTAAATATATTCTCCACAGGATTAGCCAAACACATATTGAACCAACGCTAAACTACAACTTGGACCAAAGAGCAGCCAAAATAGTTACAACAACAAAAAAAAAGATGAGCAACAAGTGCCAAAAACAACAGAAATAACAAAGACACATCTAAAACCACGGTCTTCTACAGCAGAAACAGATCATAAATGGACAACTAGCTAAGACAGCTTAAAGTTAGGACATGTTTAAAAGGTGGCCAGTACTTCCTGTTTCTCCTAATAACTCCACTACTACTACTACAAATATTTCTACTCTTACTACTGTCATTACTACAGTGAACAGAAGAGATCACGAAGAATCAGCATGATCTTTGTGGAGGTTATTGAACTTTGACCTCCAGAGATGGATGAGACCCCCCCCCCCCCCCCACACAAACCCACGCCCACACCCACCCACGACAAGACTGAGAACGACTCAAGGAGCTGAACTTCAACTTGGCGACAGCTGCAGAAACCAGAGAGCAGCCAGTTTAAATATAGACCTTTAAAATCCCAGCAGGTCGTCGTGGCCCTGCGTTCACACTTTCTTACACATGTACGTTCACACTGTGGCCTCTCATTCACACTTCACACTAAACCTGTGTTGTTTGTTTGGGAGCGCAAGATTTATGAACGCAATATTTCGTTTTTCTGGTAAATAATAGCACATTGTGTATTAACAAAGAAAAACCTAAAAAAAAAATTAAAACTGGTTTAAGTTTTTTTTTTTTTAATATTCAATGATTTATTTTATTTTCATGAGATGAAATCATTTCACTTTCACGACAGAAAAGTGAAATGAAAGTTTATCTTCTACGGATTGCGGCTGCCATCTTGTGGCTCCATGTGTGTACTACACAATTTATGAACATTTCAATGTGTTATTTTCATCAACACATTTACTACTATTAACGTTCTTAATGCAATAAAATATGAATGTCCAATAACACGTGAATGCATCGTTAAGGTGTTGTCATTGTCAATACTACATAAACTCGGGATTGAACCCCTAACCTTGGAAGTCGAACCGTCCTTATTATAAACCTGCTCTTCCGTCCAACAACAACAACCCGAGACAGACAAAAGATAAATGTTTCAGCGATATTTGAAAAGACAGATCTCTGCTCTTATCTGGAAATAAAAATAAACCTAGAAATAAGGGACTCTGTGTTCTGACTTCACCTTGTGGTTGAACGTTGTACAGCAACAGAGCAGTCAAACTCCCCTGACTGCTGTATTGTGACACTCCTAAGTCCCACAATGCACCTGGAGCGTTGACTGATTGTTTGTTTGAAGAAATATTAATGTCGCCGAAGCGAACGTCAGCCTTTGGGTTTGAACATCGACTGACTTCACTGCGCTCTGGTTAATTGCCTCACATTGTCCGCGCTGTGTCTGCTGGTAATAAACAGTGGATTTGTGACGAGATGAGGTTTGAAGGAAGAGTCGATCGATCCGTCCGCCTGAACGAAGGCGGAGAAGCTGGAGCAGAAGATTCGGAGGAGACGTAAACAGGAGCGATCAATCCCTGTCACAAAGCTCTCGTCAACTTAGTACCAGCACCAGCGTAACTGCGAGGAGTCCGTGTGGTCGATGTGGGGATTTAAAGTTGCACTAACGAAGCTGCCGTTGCCTATAGACTATTGAACTGCACGAGTTTGGGAGAGACATTTAAAGACGTAGATAATAACTTAATAAGTGGTGCAATTGACCTTTAAATGCTGCCGCTCACCATGACTTCAACTATATATATATATATATATATGTGTATATATATATATATATATGTGTATATATATATATATATATATGTGTATATATATATATATATATATGTATGTATATATATATATGTATGTATATATATATATATATGTATGTATATATATATATATATATATACATACATATATATATATCATATACAGTATATATCATTATATACAGTATATATATACAATACATTTAGCAGACGCCAAAGCGACTTACAATTTGAGTCAGTCAATCAACAAAGCTACAAATATATTTATAGAATATACAAATACATAAATAATAATAAATAACAGAAAAAGTACAGTTATAGTCAAAGTAAAGCATAGAGTAAGAATAGTATGTCTAGAACATGTCATATATTTATACATATATACATGTGTGTATGTATACGTATTGCATATATGTACATACACATTAACAAACACACGCATATATGTATGTGTGTATCAATATATGCATATATATGTATATATATATACATATATATATATATATATATATATATATATATATATATGTAATAATGGATTATGGTCAAAACGTGTTTCCAAAGTACATTACCAAAAATAAAAATGCACCAATAAAAAACAAAATTACTGATCAAAATGTTATCATTTTAGAAGTATTTAAAGGTATTTAACAGGTAAGTATTTAACGAGCACGACATATTCCATAGAGCCGTCCTTCACATAAAATCTGTACAATAACACACATTCATAATTAAGTTTTGGTTATTCAGAACACTTTTTTAAAAAAGCCATAAAACTACGCATGTAACATTTATTAGCCCTTTATTCCTAACATTATAACCATCATTAGCCATTGGCTAATGCACTTCACGTGTGGATAATTTAACAATAAATAGATACCGGATGTTGGTGTATTTGTGTTAAGAAATGATTCAGGGATTTAATTTTTGTTTACATTTTTGGGAGTATTATGACATAAAAAAAATACCAGTCCATGACTATATGAACAGTGCACATACTACACGGATCCTTTTGAGCAGAACCGTCTGGTGTAGTATATATTTTACCACCAGGGAGCGACATTTCCATGCGTTTGAGTCTCTCAGATCAAGAAGACGCAGTCAGACCACTGGACCGCACATACAACACGGGATTTGTTTATTTCTTGAATAGAAATCCTCTCTGATGGACATGAAATCATGAAATAACGCGCGGCGGATGTGACACACTAACCTTGAGAGCAAAGAGCGATTTTAAGCGAATGTTTTTGGTGCAGTTTCATGGCCTTTGCACAAAGAGACGCCCTCGCAACTGAAATATTTTGATGGAAAATGAATGAAAGGATCAGCCAGCGGGTTCTGGTTCAGGCCCGTCAACAACAAGCTGTAGTGGAGATGAAAAGAGAGATGTTGTTGGAGAGGTGGCGAAGTGAAGACGCCGGAGGACAAAAGCTGTGAGGGAAAAGGACGGGTTTCTGCTGCAGAGTGTTGACCTCCAACACTACAGTCACAGTGTCGGTGCTGCAGCCGCCCGCACTGTAAACACGACGGTATGATATTCTGTATTAAAAAAACAACAACAACAAAAACCCGGATTTTAGTCGCTTTAGTTGCTGTCGAAATATATTTCGACAGCAATTTGTATCATTTCCAACAGATTTTGTCAAATTATATCTTTTTGTTGACCTTTAGTTATTTTGTTGGCTAACTTTTACCTATATTACAGGCAACGTAAAGCAATTTACTACGTAAAGCTACTTTTCAGCATTCTCTGGGAACTTTATTTATTTATTTTAAGGTTTTTAGATGTTGTTGCTATTTTTATTTTTATTTTTTTTAAGGTTTTTAGATGTTGTTGCTATTTTTTCCTGTTTCGTTTTAAGCTGCTTCTGGTCTAACATTAGCTCTTGTTGATAGTTTATATATATATATATATACTGTATATTTATACTTTATTTTGCATTTGCTTTCGTTTTCTTCCAGGCTGGTGTTATACACATTTCATTTTTATGTGTGATATGTTTAGTTATCATTGATGTTTTTAACTTCAGCAGTTGGGTCGTTTAGCTATTTCAGTTACATACATATATATAAATAAGCTGAAAGATATGGTATATTTATATATATACATTTCTATATACCATATCTTTCAGCTTATTATGATTTATTTTAGGGTATTCATGTATTAAAACCATCTAAAAATGGGACTGAAAATGTCTGTTCTTTGTCTATTCTAAGGCTGACTTTTCTGTGTTCTTTTCATTTTAGTTTAATCGTCCTTGGCTTTCAATTTTCTAAACCCTGAACCTATGGTCTTTATTCTCTATTTTTGTCATTTCTTTTCTGATTTGTGGCTATTTTTCGTTATTTCAACGCTACTTTGGATTACTTTAGTAATTCCTAAAATGAGTTTAGATACTCCACTTTCTTATTTTAGGCTGTTTTCTCTCTTGATATTTCATTAAGATATTTGGTATTTCTAGTTGTTCCTGGCTTTCGTCAATGTTGACATAGTTATCTACTTTGAAGTTATTTTAAGATTTAAAAATAACTATAATAACATTAACAATATAAAGGTCATCATTTTAAAAGTAGGAATTTTGACTTGTATTTCAGTGGCTCCTGTTATAAAAACATCAGTAATAACAACAACATCTTCAAACAATTACTATATTCCATATCAGGATGTCGCCCGCAGCTACTCGGTGCTCAGTGTATTAGCTACAGTCACACAGTGAGTCCATTAAGCACCTTCCATATGCCTACACGATGCTCTCCATGTTACACCTATTCATATACAGACTCAGAGTGGAGGTCACACAGAGTCGGTGCTCAGCAGAGCGGTTTTATTTTTCCTTTTTCTCTATTTATGCACACCGATTCGCAGGCGGACGATTACAAACACAACTCCACCTGAATGTAAAGGCTACAGTAGATTACAGCTCAGCTCGGCCTATAGGAGCAGGGTGATCAAAGACATAACCTGGCAGGAAAGGAAAAAAAGATCATTATGGGCTTTAATGAAAGAGGAGGGAAAAAAATCCCTGCGCTGCATTAACCTACAGTGATTGACGTTTAGACAAAAGTGAGAACTTTAACGTCTTTGAGCGAAGTCGACCGTTTTACTAAGTCACCTTATTGTGGGTAAGCAGAGTATGATGGAGACAGTGGAGTTCTGTTATAGAAGCTAATTATTCTCCAACAAACATTAGACTGGAACCATATACTGTGTTAAGACAAGTGTTTAAGTTTCTACTGAGGACGTCTGATATTGACCTTTTGCCAATATCTGATATTGTCCAGACACTTCATTTCTGATTCTGATATCAAAAGATACCGATATAGGCCTGGTCATATTTATCTGTACAAACCACTGTATGAGCATGAGATTAATTAAATCAGCTGCAATGCTGCCATCTAGTGACTTTCACTTTAATATACAGCGGTTTATCCCCAAAACTATTTGTAGGGCACACATCACTTGGCGAACCCCAAGCATTGCATTATCGGGTTTTCATTAGCGCAGGAAAAATTGATAAGAATTCTTACAGATATACTGTAACATAATATGCTAATATCGGGCTGATATTATCGGTCGGCCTTTGTCTTAAAGTGGACAATGGAAATCAACAAAAATATATAATCACCAATAAATATTAAACCTAACTCAAAAACAGTCGAACAATGACGAGTAAAATTATGAAAATGACACAAAGTTAATCAGGATGTTGGTGAAAAGTGAACTCAGCGAAAAGCTAAAAATTCTTGTTGTGACGTAAGAAGCTCAGACACAGTAAAATCAACATTAGTTCTCACTGGAATGAGTAAAACCCACTGTCCAGAAAAGGCTTGTAAAGGTCATTAAAACATATTTTTAGACAGACTAAAAAAAGGCACCAGGCCATAAGAAGTCATATTTTAAAAGGTCCAATGAAATGGGCCGTACCTGGGAGCAGACTGGTTTAGGAAGATGAATTAATTGGCTGCATATCATTAAGAATATATCATAATAAAAAACGATGAAACGACTGTAACACAACAAACGAGCTGAGGCTATGAGCAGGCTACTACACATCACTACACAATCAACTCAACTGAATGCTCACACACACACACACACAGACACACACACAGAGGGGACTCTTCTTTTCTTCCCAGAGGTAGCCTCGGTCGCTCCCCTTCACAAAACACAAGCAGGGCCTCCTTTGTTAGCGAGGAGGTGCAGAGCCATCATTAGCACTGATTACTGCTGACCAGTTTGACAGTCTTATTGACTGCCAGAAAGACTTTTTCATCCGTGTCCCCTGCTCTTCCTCCTCTTCAATACAAACGGAAATATTCAACAATTCTGTCCCCGCAGTTGAACAGAGTTGAAGAGAGAGGAGCAGCTAAAAAAAAAAAAAAAAAGAAGAAGAAGAAGAAGAAGAGCCCCACGGGGCAATTTGTTCCCCTTCACTCCCTTCCTTCCTGTGTGTCTGCCTCTGTCTTCACACACATTTGGCTTCTGTGGAGCCGGAGCTGAAAGACTTTTGTCAGTGCTGGATGGAACTGTGGCTTAATTCATTAGCGATGGGAGGAAAGCAGGTGTCTGCTCCATCAATGAGAAAGGACGGGCTTTAACTTCTGCTCCTGCTGCTGTTTGGATCCATACGTTTGCTCACTTTGCTCCTCCTCAACGATTAACCCTGAATAGTTCAAGGTCTAGTTGCAGCCCAAACAAACGGGTTTTGAATATGCATTAAAGGCGCAGCACTGACGAGGGTCCACAGATAACAATCAACACCAGCACGACAACGACAAGACACAACCACCGAACCACCGAAGACAAACTTCATGGAACTAATCGAAGTCATCAGTGCCCCCTGGTGAATGATCGTAGACTGGGATTATTTTACTTGTAAAATTCATGAACTAAAAACATCAGATTCTGGAGTTTTACAAAAATTAAAAAAGCAAAAACAAATAGTAGGATCCTTCTTCTAATCCATTTAGGTGGTTTTCCGTTTGTTTGGGGGGGGTTTTTTTCATCTTACTACTACATGTTGATCAGGTCAGGGCCAACAAAAAAGTCTATTGGACTCATTTTTAAACTCAAGTTGTGTTTTTGGTAGTAATAATTTGTCCGTCCTCCATTACAATTCCTCACATTCATTCGAATTAGTTGGCTGCCGTTGTGAAAATGTTCTAATTAACACACTTTTCTATTTTTTAAGAATGTTGCCTGGTTGGTTCATTGATGTTTTTTTTTTTTTTTTCTAAAGAAAAACATTTATATTTTTTTTCCAACACACTTATACCAAATAGTGGTCACAGACCATGTTAGAGGGCGGCTCACGCAGGAATGATAGTTTAGTAGTCTAATTTTGATGAGAGTGATTTTAATGAAATTTGCTTGTTTAGTGAGAAATCACAAAAATAAAAGTAGCACCAGCAGTGGGTCAATCTGTGGTCTGAGGATTTAAGGCATCACTGTTAAAAATAAAGGGGCAGAGACGGAACTGACTTTGTTAATATTATATTTAATAGTTAATAATGTTATTTAAATAAGATAGCTTGGACATTTAAATAAAAATAATCTCGATGTCTCTAACAGGAGACCAAGGGTCAGCAAAGGTACTTAAGGTCGATTGTGAAATTTTTGTTTAATTAAATCATTTACATATGCTTTTCACCCCTCAACACTCCACTCACTAAACCTGTGCATTTATAAACTGTATTTAGACCAGTTTGATTTACAAAATACTTCTATACAATATATTAAACAGGAAGTTTCTGCTCCATCAGTTTGTGGCTCCTTAAATAGTTTTAACCAGTCTTTGTTTTTCTGACTGTACTGCCAACCATGAGCATAAAATATTTGTTATGGAGAACAGAGAAAGAATCTTTTTTTTTATGCTGAAACCTCCAGGCAGTTGACATCTGCCTCCACCCCTGCCCATCTCCTCTGTTACACCAACCATCTTCAATATGTTCTTTTTCACTTCATCCACCAATCTCTGACCTGAGTATGACCTATTATTATAGTAATTGGGAATATGTTACTGTTCACTGTTATGAACACTGTTATAGAGATGAGTGATTTTGTTACTGTTCACTAAGAACACTGTTATAGAGATGAGTGATTTTTAATGAAATATTTTGCGATAAAAAAAATCCACTACTGCCTCAGAGTAAAGTTGAAAAATAATTAGTTATAAGTAACGACTGGATGCTGCAAGGATAACGCCTGGTCAGATTAGACTGAACCAATGAGATGTTGACCTATTATTAGGAAGGGAATGGCAGAGTGAAGCCCAAAGATGAGCTGCGAATGTTGTAAAAGGGAAAACATTTAAAAACAAAGTCTATAAATTCAGGAGCAATAGCAGGTGTTGCTACTTCTCGTCTTTAAACACTTTTAAACTTGGAGAAAAATATATATGCAAAAGACCAAAGACCTGCACATGCCCTGACTTCAATCGCACACAATCTCTGTACGGTTAACAGAGGACAAATAAAATAAATATAATATTATAAAAAATAAAAAGTAACACAAACCCATCCTAAGAAAGGTCTTAAATGCCTTGCTCAATTAGCCCAAACAAGTCAGTTATAGGGAAATACGCCACTAAAAATCTAATATAGCAACAATCAACAAATGTTGACTGTTGTTGTGTTGTGGCATTATTCTCTTTCCGTATTCACCAGAACCCACCAAACGGAAGCCGGTACGCTCAGAAATAGAGCATTAAAAAAATCCACTTCGGTGTATAAAACCATCTTCTAACCTAATAAATAAACATAACCGGGGGGCTAACAATGTTGGCACCGTACATTAACACAGTATATTTATAAGAGATGTAACGAATCAAAATAAATGCAATGGATATTGCCTGGGTGTTTAAAACGGCAGCGAGGACGTGTGACGTTGAACAAACAATAAGAAACCGAAAACAGTTCGTGTTATTCGAGGTAAACATGTGCACATCAACACCCTCCCCTCCGCCCCCCACCCCACACACACCTCCCACCAAAGCCCGCTGACCTGGGAAAATGGACACTTGCTCGACTGTCTACATTATGTAAAGCTCGTTTTCCTCAATCCGCCGTGTTGTGATCTGTACGATCCCTCTCCTGCAGATCATCCGGGTTAGCGAGTCGACCTCTCCCTGACCTCCCGCTGTCACCCTGCGTTACAGGACGTCAAGCGTACTGCACTGGCCAATTATGGACCGTGTATTTCTTAGCGACACACAGTGAGAAGAGAGGGAATTACAAAACAAAAAACAAAAAAGAAAAGTGTGAACATGACAACACCACAGCCCTGAATATTTAAATAAGATAAAAAAAATGAGCTTTGGCGTTGGATAACTCTCTTACTCGTAGAAGTTGCTAAGCTAATTTTGGCAATTTGGCTAAATACAAAACCAAACGTCCGAAGTCCTGTGGCTGTTTCGATGTTAGCTAACCAGTAGCTAACGTTTCTGCATTAATTTCAATAATTTTCGGTCTGAATTTTTATGTTATATGTGAACTCGTCTTTTTTATTGATATTTTATGCTAGCTAGCTAGCTTAATTGATTTAAACGTCTTAGTTATGTGTTTAAACATATTTCAAGCCTAACATTAATGTAACATCTTTGTTCAGTTTTATTTTGAATTGACTTAACTTTTTTTCTTCTTCTTTGGTAATTCTCCGTTGTCAAACTCACAGCTATATTGGCTTACATTTTTATTAAATGTTAAAACTAATATTTAGCGTAGCAAGCTTTCAGCCTCTTTTGTTTTGTTCTGTCAATATTTAATATTATTAAAGATGTTACACAGGGTCTATACAGTGAACGATGGGCAGGTGGTTTTTGTCTTACAGCAGGAACATCATCAGTTTAATCACTGGTTTTCTGATTTCTTTATGTGGTGCAAAAACATACAGGAATTTAATTAGTCACATTTAATTGACCATAGGTTTGAATATCGTTGTAAACAGTTGGCTTCGTGATGGACCTGGGTTCACTCGACCCTCTACGGCTGCTGGGATGTATTAATATTTACCTGATGTACATTTTTCTGTTCACATTATATTTCTATATTTAGAGTCAAAATGTAAATTAGATATAAAGACATTAACTTAATGAGATTCGAATTTTATTCTTATTGGTAGGGTTTTTTTCTCCAAATGACAATAAAAATTTATAAAAATACCATTTATACTGCAATCATGAACAATTATTTTATTAAGTTATTTTATTTGCTTTTTTTTCTGTTACTCAAACACAATTTTTTTCACTAAAGCGCGCATGCTCAACAGGTCCACCTGTGTACAAGGTAAAGTATTAAAAACACCAAGCAAATGAAGATGATCAAATTCCAAGAGACAGAGCAGATGCTTGTTTTTTTTTAAATAGGCAAATAAAGATTATTTATAAAACTTTGAAAGTAAAGTAAAAATATCACAGTTTCTTTCCACATGAAATACCCACAAGAAACGGCGGCGCCTTCCTCCGTCCATTTTTTATGTTTTCTTTATGTTCAGCTTTCTTTCTTTTCTTTTTTTTACAATGTTTTTTCTCAGTGCGTTTTTGTAAAGGTTAGTCCGTGAAATATTCTCCGTCCGTTTCCACGCGTGGGTAAAACGCAAACAAAGGTGTACGGGCCTAAAAAGGGACGCACAGTCTCTGATCAGATCTCAGATCACCTCTCCTCATGATTTGGCATCAGTGTATTTCTGTGGGTTTGTGTGTGTGTGTGTGTTTGTCAGACTCATGGCAGGCACTATATGACTCGTTGATATCAGATTGTCTTTCACTCGTCTCCTCCTCCTCCTCCTCTTCTTGCTCCTCTTTCTCCTTTCTCCTCAGATGTCACATTCACTGTCGCTGGAGGTGATAGAGATGGCCGAGGCGGCCGCCTTGCTGGACAGACTCGCCTCCGGGCTGGACGAGTTCCCCAGTCGGTCCACGGTGCCGTCCTCGTCCGCCAGAGAGCGAACCGAACCGCCTGACAGAACCTGCTGCTGGAGCCTGAAGACAGACGGCGGAAAGAGGCGTAAATGTGTGTAAAGAATGTCGCTTTAACACAGTCATATCACTGCTTTTTTATCTGGTTTTATTCGGATCAATGGTATTTATTTTAACGTCATTACAAAAATAAATGTAAATATATATATATATATATTTATATATGTATATACATATATAAATATACATATATATATACAAGGAAAACAACACCCTCCAAGTCAACACAGAATTATTTATATGTTTATATGTACTAAAACAAATATTTATTTAAACGACTTTTGTTTTCTGTGATGACCTTGAAATGTCATTTTTTTTTAATTCACTGGGTAAATCTTTCTTGTCTTTAAAAAAACTGTATTCGTCTCCACATCAACTAAAAACGTCTCTGCAAAGATTGCGTTAGAAAATTAAGGACAATAATTGTGTAAATTCAAAAGGAAAAATAATTATTAATAATTTTAAAACTAAAAACCAGAGAACTAATAAAATAATAATTCAAACGTTTGATTTTTTATTTTAAAACGAATATAAATAAATATAATGCATCATTTTAACTATTCGTTACCATCTCTACATTTTTTTTCAAATGATAAAACCTGCTTTTAAAAAAATATTACGACGAATATTTAAAGTTAAAATATGATATATTTGACAGAAAATACAGGTTAAAATCGGTGGATTATTGACTATTTAATTAGGACAGAGACTAATTCAGCTGCACTAAGTCTGATCAATAAAAAACATGAACTGACTGTATTTATTATAAACGCTTTTTATATATTTTTTGTCATTTAATGACAGTTAGAGAACAAGAAAAAATCTAATGTACATGAATGTAACAATATTATTATTATCATTAAAAGCTCTTATTTTTGTTGATAGTGTTGAATTTTTTCCTGATTTTTAACTTTTAAAAATAACACGATATGGCCAAAAAATGAAAAAAGTAAAGTGTGGCAGAAAAATGCTTTCCACATAAAGTGTGACGGAATGTTAAATATTTAGAGAAGAGCTCCAGCGGCAGCAGTTTAGATCAGAGTTCTTCTGTTGTTTGACATTAGACCAATAATAAATAACCTCTGGCGACGTGTTTGTGTTGAAGTGCTGACCTAAACCACGAGCCTCTGTGATGAGCGGCCGTTCGCTCCGACTCTCACCTGTTCTTCGCAGCCGCTGCTCTGTCTCTTTGTCTCCGGTTTTTGAACCAGTTCCCCACCTGAGTGGGTGTGAGTCCTGTCGCCTGGGCCAGCTCCCGTTTTTTACTGGGATTCGGGTACGGATCCTGCAAGTACCACTCTCTCAACAAATGTCTGGTTCTCTCCTTGAAGCAGTGGGTCTTCTGCTCCCCGTCCCAGATGGTTCTGGGTAGAGGGAACTTCTTCCGTACCCGGTACTTGTCCACCGGCCCCAGCGGACGTCCCCGCAGCTTCTCGGCCTCTTGGTAGTGCGCCTCCAGCCACAGCGCCTGCAGCTTGGTGTGCGACTCTTTGGTGAACTTGTGGTTCTCCAGGATGTGGTAGAGTTCGCGGAAATTGCCGGTGTGAAAGGCGACCACGGCCCGGGCCCTCAGCACGGACTCGTTCTTGTTGAGGACCTCACAGGCCGCCGGAGCCACGGGGAGAGACCAGAGGAAGCGGCCGAGGCGCTCGACGTCGCCGCTCTCCTCCAGGGTCTCACAGACCCCGGCCACCTGCTGGGGGCTGAAATTTAGGATGGGCAACTGAAACATGGAGGATGCTTCTCCTGGCTTCCCCTCTCCTCCTCCTGACTCCCCTCTCTCGGTCACACTCTCTTACTCTCCTGCGCGTCGAGTCCAACGTCTCTCGCCTCCTCGCGCCAAGCCAATCCGAAAACACTCTCCAACAAATGAAAGAAAAAAGAAAAAGAAAAGCAAACCTGACAATTCCAAAGTTCCCTTCTGAACAGCCGCCAACAACACGGTCGCAGAACACCGCCACCGCTGTGGAGAAGGAGGTGAAAAAGAAGAAGGAGAAGGAGGAGGAGGAGGAGGAGGAGGAAGGATGTGGATGTGGATGCTAAAGCATCCTCAGACTGAGGGACAGAACTGGCAAAGGGCTGAGGGTGCGACGGAAAATAAAGCCAGAGCGGCGACGTTTATCAAGGATAGGACACGGGAAAGAATCGCAGCCGGAGCTGAGGAGGATTTTTGAAGGAGAGGATCAAAAAGGACAGTGCAGCCTCCTGCCATCGGCTCCTATTGGACTTGGCAGATTGGCTGCGCCGTCACCATGGATGCACGTCAATCACTGTCAACTTGGACCAATCGGACAGTGAGGAGGTGAAGTGCACCTCCCCCCCTCCCCCTTTTTAAAAATAATATAAACATTTTGACCTTTTTGTCATCGCAGTGTGCAAACGTGGTGCTGGCACTCGAACCGCCTGAGTCTTTGTGTTGAAGAAAGACGGTGAAGAGTCAAAGGAAACTCAGCTCAGCTCTGAGACACTATCGATGGAAGTGACACGCCGACAACACGCACCACTGTACACGGGATACACGACGGCAGCCCCCCCCCCTGAACACATGTAGAAATCCAAATATATCTATCATCTAATATATAATAATATTTACATACATATATTATCTGATGTATTTAAAAAATAAAGACATCTTTCTGAGTCTGATTTTTTAAAAATTTTCTACCAGAAGACCTTCTGAAAAGACACTTTTATTTTAACCTTGCTCATCTGCAAGGTTAAAATAAAAGTGTCTTTTACTCATTGAACACCGACTACTGGGGGGAAAACAGTGATATGAATATATTGTTATTATAAAAAGAAACACAGAGGAGTGGAAATGAACCCTAATAGACAAAATAATAATGACTCCTGCGAATGGCAGCGTTGGTTATGATAATAATGTGTAACATCTACTCAAATTAACATTAGCCAAAAGAACCTGTAAACTGGATGACCTGATCTGGTATTTTATTGGGCCGTGAGTGATCCCCCGAGCCTTATTTTTGACATTAGTAAACCTGTATGAACCATGTAGCATTTTAGACTAACTCTGTTTTTCTTGCAGGCAATAATTGTGTTGTAATCAAGTCGTTCAATCATTTCTATTTTAAACTCTTTAAAAGCCTTTTAACCCCCCTCCTCTCCCAAGACTCCCCCACAAAAAATGTCGAAAGCAGAAAAAAAAATGTTGTACTGAAAATGATGATTACATTCTATTGAAAACGTATATTTATATTATTGTTATTACTGTTGTTTTAAGAATTTAAAAATAGTGTCTTCGCCTTGACTTGGACCTCAAGTCTGGTCCCTCTTCACTGATGAATCACAGTGGTTGAAATGACAGACTGATGATGATGATGATGATGATGATGACGACGATGATGACGTCCTCCACTGTCAGATTTTAATAACTGTTCGTGAACTGCAGTACTGCTGTATATTTACAGATACACAGGAGAGAGTCACCGGGAGGCAGGGACAGGGGAAACCCTTGTATTTGGGTGTGTGTGTGTGTGTGTGTGTGTGTGTGTGTGTGTGTGTGTGTGTTCTGTATGGGATTATGGTGATGGCACTGCCAGGCTACTCGGCTTTAGTGTCAGACACACTTCGTTTTGTGCGCGGGCTGATTTGGTCAATAAGAGGGCGGATAGATGGCGCAGATGGTTGGAAGTGTCGGCTCGGATTATTTCATGGCTGAATACAGTAGTGAAGTCCATTCTGACGGAAAAAGCCTGATATTATTTCCACTGATACCTTCTCCTCCTCCTCACCCTCTCCTCCCCCTCCCACACACACACACACACACACGCTCTCCCTCGGGCTTTTTTATTGTGTGTGTGTGTGTGTGTGTGTGTGTGCATGAATAACAAACTCCTGATGCCGGGTTTATGAACGCCTTCTGCTCATTCATTCCTGGGCTAAATGTAGATCATCAGAGCAGATTAAAAAATCGTATTAATAACAATGAAGAGCGTTGATTGTCTTTTGAAGCCTAATTTGATCACAAAGGTCAATGTAAACACACTCTATATTATTATTATTATTGTTGTTGTTGTTGTTGTTGTTATCATTATTATTACTATTATTTTATTATTCTGACATCTGAGTGAATCGGGGTCACCCTCCACCCTCCTCCCTCCACCCTCCACTCACCCACATCATCATACTGTAACGTCAGCCGGTGAAGCCCGGACCTCCATCAGACGCAGGGCTGGAAGTAAACCGCTCGGTGGAAGGACACGGTTCTGCGGTGAAATATTAAAGACGTGTGTGTAAATATTTCACACCCTGCAGGCTGCTCCGTCTGCAGCTACATTTACAAGCGCTGCAATATCTCTCTCTCCTCTTCGTCGGTGGTTTTTTTTCCTCCTCTGGAGAAGGCATGAATAACAGAGAGCCGTGTTCTGGATCTTTCTGTCTCTCTAACAGCGATGGAGGAAAACAACTGTCGACTTTAGGAGCTCCGTCAGCAAACACGAGCTGCAGGCGCCGCTCAAACATTTATCACCATAAGAAAAATAAATAAATAAATAAAGGTAAAGATGTGGATGTTATTTCTGAGGCTCAATATAACAAACATAACACAACAACAGTACTTTGGACAGATATTTTAAAATGTCATTTCGCAGAGGAAATTCAGCCTTTTCTGTTCTTTTTTGGTGACGATGTCTTATTTTATTTTATCGTGCAGTTCGTGGATTTACAGCATCAATTAAAAATGTAAGCTTCGTTTAAGTGTTTTTTTTTTGTTCCTGAATGGGAATAATTGAATGGTATCAGTCTGACTGTTTCTAACACTGCAAATATTTCTTTCTTATTTGTATCAAAGCATTAATCTCCTTCAGAACACCACTGAAAATTCTCAATTTTTTTTTTTTTTTGGAATTTTTATTTTGTTGTTGTTGTTGTTGTTGTTGTTGTTGTTTTCACTTCCTCCTCTTTTCTGCCTCCTCCGACCCCTGTCATTTCAGACTTTTTTTTCTCCTTTCATTTCTCCAGTATGTAACAGTGTAGGCCTGTTACTGTCAGGTGACAACAGGCCTCCTGACACCAATATCCCTGAACAGTCTCACTGCATCACAGAGGCTCCCATTCAAACACGTCAGTGTTTTCTTTTCTTTCTTTTTTTTTGGTTTGTTTCTGTCTGAGGGACCAGTCTGTCCTCACCACAGCCGCTGACACTCACAGACAAAGGTCATTTTACAGGAAATGCTATTTGTTATTATTATTATTATCAATAATAATATTATCATATTCATTGTGCAGACAAAATAACAGAAAATTATACTACAAAACAAACCCCAGTGATGGTTTAAAGAAAAATCCAAAAATAAACACTGCAGTCTTACACAGCTGAATCAAATTCAGGTGTTTTTTCAATCAACATTTCTTGGTAAAAAATATTTGGGGGTAAAAAATGCTTGTTTTTCTTCTTATTAATCCAGTGTTAATTAGGCACAGCAGATATTAAATGTTTATAGACATTACTGTCAGGGGTTTCATTTGGTCTGTGGTCTCTCTGCAGGTTTTTTTTTTTTTTTTCTGTGGTCTCTCTGCAGGTTTATACTGAGTTAATGTTTTTAAAGGGAATGCATAAAACAAGTCTATGCACTAAGATATTTAAATACCTTGTGTGTTAATGCATGATAACATTTCACAAGACGTGATGAATCAGTTGAAAATATATAAAAATCAAAGGGCTGGGGCGCGGTTCCCACAAATATCATACCAGACTGGACATAAATCAGGACGAGATGAAGCAGAGATGACTGTTTTCATCCCTGTTTTCTTGTATTTTGAATATGACGAGGGTACATTTACTCTGAGTCACCATTAGCATTTATGCAGCTAGGTCCTAACTCGCCCTGGGCAAGCTGGGAGGGGGTGGGGAGCAGTTACATGTGAACTGGCTGGAAATGACCCAGATTCCCTAGGATCAGTGGAGCAGACGAGACGCTACACGAGTCTGTCACCAACAGCCCTCCTGCCACTATCCCATGAAGACCTCCAGTCCCTTCCTCCCTCTCTGGAGACGCTCTCTCCTACATCACTGCTGCTCAGCATCCTCAAAAACACACTGAAATGGAAGCATGCGGGAAGAGCTGAGAGGTTTCTCTTAATGAACACCACTGGCACATAACGGGACACAGCATTTCTCCTTGAAAGCGTCTAATGCAGAGGAAGGAAATCGCAAAAAGTGTTTGCTTCATTTTCTAGGATCACATCAATTTACTACAAATACAAACTTAAATATTTTACGAAACCACATTCAAAGCTCTCAGCCTTCAAGAAACCAACATGTTTTTAGCTATGGGGGGAAACGATGTGTGTAAATAATTTACACACATCAATGACAAGATTGTTGTCATACTTTTGACCTTAGACCAAAGGTCAAAAATTAGGCTTATGTCTGAGATTTATTAGCCATATCAGAGGGGTTGAGTTTTCTGCAGTTCATAGATAATGGTGCAGCTGAGTGTTCGATGTTAGCCTACAACAGAAAAGCTGTTGTAAAGTATCTTTTTTTCTAGAGATTTAAAATTAGCTTTAAATATTGTTGACAAAGATCAGATTATTTGTCAAAAGATCTTTGTTTGTCTTTCTTTAATTCCTGCAAGCACACCAGCATTGTGTTCAACTAAACAGGTCCAGGTTTAATACATTCTCTGGTAAATTGTCAGTTGATAGAAAATCGAAGATCATTCGCTAACTGCCTAACGTCGGTGCTTCGCCGACTTCTCCCTGTGCAACAGACTGTTTTTACCAAAGAGTGAGCTGTTCCTGCACGGGATTAACTTTCCAATTAAAATATCATGTCAGTAACACCGTCCATAAACCCTGGATGACCCGGACGTATTTAAAGGCCAGGCTCGGGACAGGAGGACTTAAAGATTCACTTTGCTTATACCCAGTCTGGTGGTGCCGCAGCAGCAGCAGGGTTAAGCCAAAGCTCTCTGCCAGTTGTATTTTCAGACCCATTTGCCCTGAAGGGCAGAACAATCTCTTGACGCTGCATTTAATCCGTGGATTTATGGTAACAGAGAAGACTTCTTATCCACTCACCCACTGACCCCCAGTGTAGATAATCCAGTGGCTTTGAGCCGTCACACAGCACTGCTGATAGGGAGAGTACAATACACTGCTGTGACCAGTGTAAAGAAACACACACACACAAAAAGGCATAAAACGTTGTCTTAAAATCCATAAAATGTTTGCATTTTCGTTGATCAGCTGCTAAGAATAAATGCATTGAGCCGTGGATTTATGGTAATGTGGATGTTAAATGTGTTAAAATACACATTTCTGTGTCATTTTGAAGATGTTGTAACAAAACGAATCCATTAAACTTTCATTCAGGAGTGAATCATGAGTGATTAGAAAGTTTAGAATCCAGTGGAATGACCACCTGCTGTTCTAGGAGTTTTGGAATCCCGGCGCCCCTGGTGTTAACATGCAGAACTACATGTTTTCAGATGTGTTGGTGTCCTACATGTCAGATAATTTAATGTGTAGGACTACACAACGTTGGTTTAACCCAGTACTTCTCAAATAGTGGGGCGGGCTCCCCTGGGGGGGCGCAGTAAGGTGCCGGGGGGCGGAGGGGGGCTTCTAATGGAATATGGCAGGTAATACACCTGGTTATTGTGTGGTACCACTGCTGTAATGCTTGAATGATAACAAGACTCCAGTCACTAGGTGGCAGCAACTCATACAGTGGTTTGTACAGATGAAAATAAACATTTTATCAGGTTCTCAAGAGTATTTCATTTTGCGGGGGTGTGGGCGTAAAAACATTTCTGTACCTGGGGGGGTTGGGGGGGTACAGAAATGTACCGTTGATCTTACAGATACGTCAATGGAAAAGCAGCTAATGTTAGCAAAAAGGTTCAAAGTTAGCCTTGTAACGTCATCACCACAAATTCCCAGGAAACAGTTTACATGTGACTGTCGGGCACCTGAGTCCTGGTTTTCTAGCTCCATCGTAACAAAGCAACAGAAAGTCTTGTCCTCACAATGATAACATACCAACATATACTTACATATTAGTGAGGGCAGCATTAAACAAACATGTGTTTCCTACCGTCATACGCTCTCTTTAACCAGTCCAAGAAAAACACCTCTATCTTTACACGACAATTTACCACATCCTAATTCAAACTCTAATCCCAAAATTAACCCCAGGTCCTCAAAGTGGCCACTAGGGTTAGGATTTGCAGAATGTTCTAATAAAGACTGGCCCTTTTGCCCTTCCATCACACTATGTACAAGAACACACACCCTCCAACGCCCACACACACACACACACCCACACAGGGTCAACCCTGCCCTGACACATGTAATCCTCCTCCAAGCGTTTGTTTCCAGTGGACTTACAGTACAGCTCACAGCACCTTGAGCCGTCACCGCCGCCTGTGATGTCAGGAATTATTTCCACTGAGCCAATTCACACTAGTATGATGCACTGAATATTTAATTCTGTAACGCCTGCGCAGGGACTGAGATTGACATGTGAGAGTGTTCGTTTCTGACG